TTGAATTTCCCAGAAATGACTGTTAGCCATTTCAACTCATTTTCAGCTCATTACTTTCCTCTTTCCTACTTTCCTCATTGGGTTGCAATGATGTTAATTAGACTTCAAAAAAATATATGATAGAGCTGGTAAAGCTGCAGACAATGAGTAGAGTAGCTTCTATATAATGCAACATTGCAATGGAAGGGGGTGTTTAAATTGGAAAAAAGAAAGCGTATGAGTGTTATATAACTGTATATTTTTATCAGATCAAATCAGTCTACTGGAGAAACAATGTCTCTTCCCTGTAAGATATAGAGTGCAGTCTATAATATTGATCCCATGGAAATTGATAGATAGGTTTTGATTGATTCCCAGTATAGGGTTGAGAAAGAATTTACTGGTCCAAAGTTTTTCAATTTACTTCCATGTCTAATGGAGAACTAGAACCAGAGTCTCCCTGCACCTAATTCATCATTTTAACTTGTACATCACATTGGGTCTTAAAACCTTACACAATAATACCTCCCAATAATATTTCGTGCTGTTCTTGTGTTTATATGGTTCAGTATATAATAATAATAATACCTTTAACAACAACATCAACCTATCCCAGGTCCTTGGGACAGACTTGACTGGTGGATAAAAATGTCGAACCCAGTCTAAACATCTAGCTGACTATGAGACCATAATAGTTAATAATAACAATAACAATAAAAACAACACAAAAACAAAAAAAACCTAGTCATTATGTAAAAAGTACGACTTACCCGCATCTGAAAAGTCATGGGAACATAAAGTGGAAAAAGTGGTCGAAAATGAGAAGGTGAAGATCTTGTGGGACTTTTGAATACAGATGGATCATTATTTGGAACACAACACGCCAGAAAACACAGTTGTCAGGAACGAAGTGTACAGTTTATTGATACCGCTGTACCGGAAGATGCCAGAGTCAAGGTAAAAGAACTGAGAAAAAAATCACAAATATTGCGACCTAGCCATCGAAACTACGCAATTATGGATGAAACATGTAACAGTGATACCCATTGTTATTGGAGTACTAGGTACCATGTCCAAGGATTTTACAAAATACATCAAGAAATTACAGCTTCCTGCAATAACACCAGCAGAACTGCAAAAAAAACTGTGCTACTTGGAATGTACATTTTAAGAAGATACTTGGTTGATACCTAGGATGCTGGCAGCAACCCATATCAACCATCAGCGCCAGTCAATGATATTTGAGATACATTTTTAAACGTTCAGTTGACTCATGTTTAATGAATAGAAGAATAATATGAACAAAGGATTATTTGTATGAGAGTGTCAAAATGCATGAGTCATAAGATTTCAGAGTCAATTTTAAAGTACTTAAAAAAAATCCCAGCACTCATACATGAATTATAAAGATATGAAATGTTTTCAACCAAAAGTTGGGGGAAAGAATTAGGCCGCCTCTTCCCCTGAGTGGTAGTCTCAGTCTAGATCAGAAACCATTATGTTTAGACTAGAATAAATAAAAAGGAGAAGGTGAGCTGTACAATGAACATTTTATGTGTTGGGTTTTTGAGCCATTAATGAAACACAGTGAAGAATATCTTCCACAGCAAAGAGAATATTTTATACCTTGTTGTTTTCATGATTCCTTAATGTCATTAGGTTGTTCTCTGATTAATGAGGAAGCAAACAGCAAACTGTATTTGATGATACTCACAAAGATCAAGCTCCATCATATTTCATTTTTGCTATAATAAATACTGAGAAAATATATTGATTTTATGCCTTTCATAGTTGTCTAGGTGAACCTAGTTCTGACCAAACAAAGAGTAGACAATTTTTCTTTATTATCCGGCTGATTTTTTAAGTGAATATTCATAATGGCACTTACTTGTGCGTTCAAATACAAATAAACAAGAAGAATTTGATTTATAAACTGAGAGGAGAATTAATTTTGGCTCTTACTGAGTTCTAATACTAATAATTACATTCCAAATCATTATATAAGACTGCTTGAATTTAATTGCATCGTAGAGAATAAATGTTTAGTGTGTTTTAGCTGATGACATTCTCCCTTTTCTTTGTATTGGCAAAAAGCAGCATTTTAAACAGGATTATAGAATTATTTTGGAAAATTATTTTCAAATTAATCTTGTTTGTAATCTGTTCATTTTTTATTTAAGTATTTAGCTGCTGGATCAACCACATGCTGAAAAAAATATTTTCTTGGCTATCTGACTGCTGTCCTATTCTATTTTACAGTTCATATAACTGTATTTTAGTTGTTTGAAATTTCAGTTAGACAGGATTTGAAGGCATCCAGAACATGACATAAATTGAAAAAAGAAAAAGAGTAAATTGGATCATGTGTAAACAAATTCATGAATAGTTATTCAACTTCTAATTTCATTCCAAAGGAGAATCATCCTGCTGGATCTTGATTAAATATGTAGATATGTGTGACAGGGTTGAAGTATAATATTGTCAGATTATATGTATGTTTTAGCTTTTTAAGCAAGCTGGTAAAGTGAAGTAACCACAGCTTGTTTGGCCAATTCTCATTTGTTCTGCCAAGAAGACCCAAGTTCAAAAACAAAAGTTCAGAATTTTGAATTCAGATGCAATGACAAGCTATAGTTAAAATAAGTTAGGATTTGTAAATGACTAACTATAGCTTCAAATAGTTTGTTGCCATTAAATAAAGGACAACATTTATCCTAGGGGTGCTTTTGTATAACACAAAGCAAGCTATGTTATTGTTTTGAGTAAGAGCCAAGCCAGTACTACGGTGATGTAGATCATGAAAGCACAGGCTTGGAAGTTGTTCTGGATGACTCTTCTAGACAATCTCCTGTCCAGTGCAGGAATCCACATACTATTCCATACAATTGGATATCCAATCTTTTATCAAAAGCTCTGCTGATGGAGCACCCACCGCTTCAGGAGGAGGATGTTTCACTCCTTAATAGCTCCCAAAGTCAGGAAATTCCTTTTTATCCTAACTGTATCTCTCTCTGTATCTTATCTCTCTCTGTATCTTATTTCTCACTGTAAAACTTCTACCCATAAATCGGTATTGTAGAAATCTCCCTAATGCATGTCAGTATTGCTGATCTCTAAAGTCAATGCTTTAAATTCCCTACAGTTTCAACTTTGTGAACTCTCAAGCTTCCTCTTTCCGCTATGTATTCAAGATGGACAGTGAATAATATTTATATGTTAGTATGTCAATTCAGTATCAACTAATAATCCAAGACATGTCAAGTAAAATATATTCTCTTTAGTATATACTACAACACAAAAATGTTTTATTTCCCTTGGGTTGAGTTGGGACACAAATATCTGCTTATCTGTAGAAGCACATCTTCATACAGGTGTCTTTCATAGCAGGGCCCTTGGTCTATGGGGGGAGACTATTTCCTATAGCTGGAGCCATTTGTAATGACTGTATTTCATGTTTCAATAGAATCTGATTTCTAAAGGGTATGTGTATATACACTGCTCAAAAAAATAAAGGGAACACAAAAATAAGACATCCTAGATCTGAATGAATGAAATATTCTCATTAAATACTTTGTTCATTACATAGTTGAATGTGCTGACAACAAAAGTACACAAAAATTATCAATGGAAATCAAATTTAGCAACCCATGAAGGTCTGGATTTGGAGTTACACTCAAAATTAAAGTGGAAAAAAACACTACAGGCTGATCCAACTTTGATGTAATGTCCTTAAAACAAGTCAAAATGAGGCTTAGTAGTGTGTGTGGCCAACACGTGCCTGTATGACCTCCCTACAACACCTGGGCATGCTCCTGATGAGGTGGTGGATGGTTTCCTGAGGGATCTCCTCCCACACCTGGACTAAAGCATCCCCCAACTCCTGGACAGTCTGTGATGCAACGTGGCGTTGGTGGATGGAGTGATACGTGATGTCCCAGATGTGCTCAATTGGATTCAGGTCTGGGAAACGGGAGGGCCAGTCCATAGCATCAATGCCTTCGTCTTGCAGAAACTGCTGACACACTCCAGCCACATGAGGTCTAGAATTGTCTTGCATTAGGAGGAACCCAGGGCCAACCGCACCAGCATATGGTCTCACAAGGGGTCTGAGGATCTCATCTCGGTACCTAATGGCAGTCAGGCTACCTCTGGCGAGCACACGGAGGGCTTTGCGGCCCCCTAAAGAAATGCCACCCCACACCATTACTGACCCACTGCCAAACCGGTCATGCTGGAGGATGTTGCAGGCAGCAGAACGTTCTCCATGAGTCTCCAGACCCTGTCACGTCTATCAGATGTGCTCAGTGTGAACCTGCTTTCATCTGTGAAGAGCACAGGGTGCCAGTGGCGAATTTGCCAATCTTGGTGTTCTCTGGCAAATGCCAAACGTCCTGCATGGTGTTGGGTGTATATATGTGTAGGTAGGTAGGTAGGTAGGTAGATAGGTAGATAGGTAGATAGATAGATAGATAGATAGATAGATAGATAGATAGATAGATAGATAGATAGAT